GTATGAATGGATATTTGATTTGAAACGTGTTTGTTTATCTGTTTGTATGGTTCTCTTCCCTTGTCAATATATATTGTGACACAGAATGCCAATGCGAGTGGGTTCCAGCTGACACCTGCTGGTGGCCGTGACAGCAGGCACAGAAAGGATGTGATACAAGTTGGATTGGACCTCTGAATTTCAAATGTGATTTATCTCCAGAAATTTGCATTCCTGAACTGAAAAGATATGCCAGCACCATAACTACAACATCTAATTGCAGAGATTGTTCAGGCCCTCTAGTTTTTGTCAGGCAGTTTTAAGTGGTTAGTAATTATATATAATCCACTCGTATACAACTTGTATATCAAAAATAGGGTGCAAAGGTTGCACACCACTCTCCCCTAGGTGGTACCATGAAAAAAATACTATCAACCACACACCTAATATACACTATATAAAAATATATCTTTATTGAATGAAAAATAAATAGAAAATCAAGTTAATTTATATACACCACAATAAGTACGGCTTAAATGAAACATAATTCATACATAATGAATCTGTTGTATTCAAAGATAACTTTTTTGCATTATTGGTAATTCATATACATAATACGCAAATTAATCAGTAAAAAAAAGAAAAAAACATATGAATAACCAAAAAATGTATGCAAAGTATAAGACATAGGATAATTCCTGTATAATAGACACTTTACCTAGTTATCGTGACCAGAACGAACCACACCACCCAACGTTTTGGCACAAACGGCCTTTGTCAAGCTAATGATAATAATAATACATTTAGTCTCTATTGAGGTATGTTATTATACACAGCCTACACAGTTCTAACAGACACTCTTTTAATGTTACCTATATGCGTATATATATATTTCTAAAGATTAAACGTCCAGTGCAGGACATAATACCTTAGGTGACTTATTCTTAAACCTGTTCTATAAACGTGATACTTAATAACCTTTTCTACTTATGTTATTGTAAGTGAAATTCTATTTAAATCAAATGAAATGTCATGTTTTGCACATATAATGCATAGTTTGCATTTTAGCTTGTGTGTAATCAACCATCCCTTTCCACAGCTACGCGTTCAATCAGTACCATCTGTAATAGCAGAACAGAAAATACCTAATTAAATATATCCCAGACTTGTTTATGACAACATTATTTGTTTGCATATGGGCAGCAGGGTTACAATTTGATCCTTGCCATTGGTCTGTGCAATAACAAGTGGAATGTTATAGTGCCTTTTAAGGTTAAGCTTAATCACATTACATTATACAAGTTACAGCCTTTTTGGTCCAAACATTACAATTCAAGGTCTCTGTTTGCATTCTGTACATTTGACACTCTGACACGTACACATCCAGTCCTGTGGGTATTATGGGTGAATGGACCATTCTAATGAGCTATAGTGGCACAACAAGGTGTATTTGATTGATATTGTATCCATGACAACATCACTTGCATGTTCATGATATTAAAGAGGCAAAATACTTGTTGCATGATGTCTGGAGTTTTCACTAAATAAGAAACATGAAAATGGATTTTAATTCTTGCAGATAATATTTTTGTAAGACCGAAATACACACACTGTGCTGTAGTTTTAATGTCCACTTCTTTTGGTTATGTTATAAGAAAATTATTAATAAATGATGAATTCGAGCCAACTCCAACAAACAAACAGTTTGACCTGATATTTTTTTTCCATTGCTGGCTTGAACTTGTCCTCTTTTATGAGTTCAACTAATTAGAGATCCATGCATTTTGCACAGTATTGATCCCATCTTGTCACTGGAACGGTTAAAGATCAACCAAATATGAATTAATTGCCTGGTAAATTTAACCCCTTAAGGACCGAGGACGGTTCAGGACCGTCATCGGCATTTTTGCCTTGAGGACCGATGACGGTCCTGAACCGTCCTAACGGTCTGGGGGTACTTACCTGATCGCCGTCGTTCCCCCGGCGGCGATCAGCGTTGGCTCCGGTTGTGGGGAGACTGCCTGCAGCCCAGACAGTCTCCCCACGGCAGATTTAGGACCCCTGTGGCCATGTGATCGCTTAACACAGCGATCACATGGTCACAATAGGTGTCCATTGTCTGCCTGCAGGGGGACTGTCTGTGCTGACAGCAGTCAGTCTCCCTGCTAGTGTAAAATCAGAAAAAAAAAATAAAGTTAGTGTTAATTAAAAAAAATAAAATAATTATATATGTGTATATATGATATATAGACATATATTATATCTATATAATATATGTCTATATATCATATATATATAATGTCATACTAAGTGTATTTTTATATTAATATGTACTTATATTAATATAAAAATACACTTATAATTAAATTACACACGTATATATATAATATATATAATAACTATATATATTGTATATATATATTATTATAAAATATAAATAATAAGTAATTTAAATTAAATAAAAAATTTTTTAAATAATAAAAAATTTAAAAAAAATTATATAGCTATATGAAATTTTATTCTAACTGTATTTTAAAATTAATATATATATATATTTATATCAAAATACACTTAGAATGAATTTGTATATATATCTATGTATATAAAAATAAATAAAAATAATAAGAAATATACATACGTCCATATACAAAATTACATAAATAATTATATAAATATACACGTAGACTTCAAATATATAAATATGCATATATATTTAAATTTACGTGCGTATTTATGTAATATTTTTACATAATTCAGTAATTTTATTGATTGCAATTTGAGGGACCTGCCTGCTAACCCAGGCCGAAATTCCAGAGAATTTAATTTGCTAGCACTGTATTTTACCCTGTAACGTTCTACGACACCCTAAAACCTGTACATGGGGGTACTGTTTTACTCGGGAGACTTCGCTGAACACAAATATTAGTGATTCACAACAGTAAAACATATCACAGCGATGATATTGTCAGTGAAAGTTACTTTTTTGCATTTTTCACACACAAACAGCACTTTTACTGATGATATAATTGTTGTGATACGTTTTCCAGTTTTTAAACACTAATATTTGTGTTCAGCGATGTCTCCCGAGTAAAACAGTACCCCCCATGTACAGGTTTTATAGCATTTTTGAAAGTTACAAGGTCAAATATATGGGTCAAATATTTTACATTGAAAATGGCCAGGTTGGTTACGTTGCCTTTGAGAGCGTATGGTAGCCCAGGAATGAGAATTACCCCCATGATGGCATACCATTTGCAAAAGAAGACAACCCAAGGTATTGCAAATGGGGTATGTCCAGTCTTTTTTAGTAACCACTTAGTCACAAACACTGGCCAAAATTAGCGTTCAATTTGTTTTTTACTTTTTTCACACACAAACAAATATGAATGCTAACTTTGGCCAGTGTTTTCGACTAAGTGGCTACTAAAAAAGACTGGACATACCCCATATTGAATACCCTGGGTTGTCTACTTTTAAAAAAATATGTACATGTGGGGTGTTATTCAGAGATTTATGACAGATAATAGTGTTACAATGTCACTATTGATAAATTTTAAAAATGTATGTTTTGAAACCGCAATATCCTACTTGTACCTATAGCCCTATAACATGCAAAAAAAGCAAAAAAGCACGTAAACACTAGGTATTTTTAAACTCAGGACAAAATTTTGAATCTATTTAGCAGTTTTTTTCATTCGCTTTTGTAGATGAGTAAAAGATTTTTCAAGTAAAAGTCAAAAAACATGTATTTTTTTCAATTTTTCATCATATTTTTTTATTTTTTTTAAATTAAAATACATGAGATTATATAAATAATGGTATGTAAAGAAAGCCCCTTTTGTCCTGAAAAAAACAATATATAATTTGTATGGGAACAGTAAATGAGAAAGCGGAAAATTACAGCCAAACACAAACACCACAAAAGTGTAAAAATATTCCTGGTCGCAAATGTACAACATCGCAAAAACAGTCCAGTCCTTAAGGGGTTAAATTCCGTATTTTTTTTTCAATTCTCAGATTTTTTTGTTGTTTGTACAGTGGGATTTCCTCTTTCAAAGAAATCACGCTGAAGGTTAGAAAACCATAGGGAAATATTTTGTGTAGCTTTAGACCCAATTAGTTATTGTAAAAATTTCTTGGCACATATAATCCGCCCATTTTCTACTGGAGAGAGATTTTTACATTTGTTGAAGGTGACATTAAACAGCACAGACTCCCCCTGCCACCCACAACGCCTTATCATGATGATTGATGCCTGGTGAGGCTGTTCCCAAAATCACATAATAGAATAAAAATATAAAAAAGGACATTTATAAGTACAGCTGTTATAGAAATACTTTGTACATTGCTTGTAATATAGAATTATCCATCTAGTGTAATATAATATATCCTAGTTTATTTTGTGATTTTCCATATCTCTGCTTTAAGCACACGTCATTCGCATATTGCTGAAATGTGTGTACATAATAACTTATTTTCAGTAGAGTATAATAAGTAGTTTAAATAACTAAAAGGTCTCACAGTGTTTCTTTATCATTTTTGGTATTTATCCAAATACAATAGATTAGCCGTGAAATCATTTTAATAGCGTATACAAATGCGAACTTTATTTTTTTAATGTAAGATTCACCGTCGCTATTTCCGGATGATAGTTGCTGGTTCAAGATGAAAAAAGAGTTATTTTTCATTTGCATTCTTTTCTTTTATCTTATAGGTATGGGTGGAAATGACCACAAATATCTGTGAACACACGATAAATTGTAAAAACAACTTCATTAAAAAATCTGAACATTTTTATATTTTATGTACATTAAAGTGGCTCTTTGATTCCAAACTTACCTTTCTTAAACCAATCCCTCTTCTCCGTCTCTCTCTCCAAATCTGGTCTCCTTTTCCACATTTCTGATCTTCTCATATTTTTCTTACACTTGACAAACTTGACACAGGTTACAGATTAAGGCAAGCTCCACGTCCTTTGTCAGGTCCCATTTTCACACAATACTCACTTACCCATCTCGTCCCTTGCCTCTATTTTATTCTCCTGATTCATCACCTTTCCTTCCACAAGCCTTGTGTATGCACAGTACAAGCCCCTTTTGCTTCTGACTGCTGGGCTAATTTTTTCAGCAATTTGCACGTGTGAGAAGTACATCTTGCGGCTGTATATGGGTAGACGATGTCAAAGACGAATTGTCACTGTGGCACAAGGAAACAAATAACCTGTGCCATGATCATGGATGAAAAAAGGAGACAGAAGTAAAAATTATTACATTTGGGGACATTAAGTACTCAGACACCAAAAAATCAATAAGACAAGCTGTGAATGGTGCTAGATAAGTCAATTTTACACCTTACTACAAAAATTTGTGTTAGCAGCGCCAAACTGGTGTATTAGCTCCACAACACTTAATAAAAAACAAAAATGAATATAAAGTGCGCTGTGCCTTTAAGATTGTGCTCACAAAAAACTCTTGTGTTTTGCAATCACCCCCAATAAGTAAAATATTTAAATGCAACAAAGTGCTTGTGCTCAAGATATAAAAAAAGGCAATTCCTTGTGCAAAAAAACAATATTTGGCAATGTTTTGTGCAAATATGCTTCGAAACATATGTGTAGATATTATTGCACCACGCCACATTAAAGTGCATAAATATCAAAAGTGCCTCATGTATTCTGTGTGAAGTACCAGAATACCAAATCTGATTTGCACATTGGTTACAAGTATTACATTGATTCACACAGAATACATGATGCACTTTTGATATTTATGCACTTTAATGTGCAGTGTTGCAATAATATCTACACAAATATTTTCAAGTGTATTTGCACAAAACATTGCACAAATATTATTTATTTGCACAAGTACTCGGATAGTCAGAGGGAACATAAAAAATGGGTCAGCTCATGGCAGCTGCCTTAATTATAATTACAGAGAAGTATTTCTAGATATCAATGGAGATTTCCCCGTGCATTTTATCTCTTATTGAAGGTGATAAATCATCCCATGAGTGTCTGAGGTGGAGAACATACACTGATCAGCCACAACATTAAAAACACTGATAGGTGAAGTGAATGACATTGATTATATTGTTACAATGACACCTGTCAAGTGGTGGGATATATTAGGCAGTAAGTGAACAGTCAGTTCTTGAATTTAAAGTGTGTTGGAAGCAGATAAAATGGGCAAGTGAAAACATCTGAGTAACTCTGACAAAGGCTAAATAGAGATGGCTAGAGAACTGGGTCAGAGCATTTCCAAACTGACAAGTCTTGTGGAGTGTTCCTGCATTTCCAAACTGACAAGTCTTCTGGAGTGTTCCTGGTATGCAGTCATTAGTACCTACAAAGGAAGGACAACTGGTGGACCAGTGTCAGGGTCATGGGTGCCCACGGCTCATTAATGCATGTAGGGAGCAAAGTCTAGAAGAGCTACTTTAGCTCGAAATGCTGGAAAACATAATCCTGGACATGATAGAAAGGTACCAGAATGACAAAGTTCATGACAGCTTGCTGCGTATGGGCCTGAGTGCTCATGATGACCTCTGTCCACCACTGAAAGTGCCTTCAATGGGGACATGAATGTTAGTATTTGACCACAGGGCAATAAAATAAGTTTGCCTGCTCTGATGAATTATGTTTTCCTTTAGATCAGGTGGTTGGCTGGGTGTGTCTGCGTCATTTATTTGGCAAAGAGATTGTAGTAGGATGCACTAAGGGAAGAAGGCAGTGCTATGCTCTGAGCAATATTCTGCTGGGAAACCTTGGATCCTGGTATTCATGTGGATGTTACTTTGATATGTACCACCTACCAAGAGATTGCTACAAACCATGTACACCCCTTGATGACAATGGTGTTCCCTGATGGCAGTGGCCTGTTTCATCAAGATAATGCTCCCTTCTACACTGCAAATATTGTTCAAGAATGGTTTTAGGAGCATGACAAAGTGTTCAAGGTGTTCCCTTGGACTCCAAGTTCCCCAGATCTCTATCAGATTGAGCATCTGTGGGATTTGCCCCACCTCATAACTTGCAGAGGTTAAATGACCTGCTGCTAATGTCTTGATGCCAGATACCACATGTACCATGTTAAGAAATCTTATGAAGTCTATGCCTCAACGCATCAGTGCTGTTTTGGCAGCACAAGGGGGACTTACACGATATTAAGCAGGTGGTTTTAATGTTGTGACTTCACATTTGAAGTAAAACCTCCCATTTGATTATAATTCAAGTAATTTAGGAAAAACCTGTCTAATCCAAAATAAATGGGAATGAAATGTTTGAACGTTTTTGCCCTTACACTCATTATTTAATATACTAATATAATATTGCCAAAATTGAGTTGACAATATGCATAAATACAAGCTTTTTAGCTAGGAATATTTAAGTTCTAACACATGTAGGCAGCAGATTGCAAACATTCCATACAGATCAACTTTAAACAACATACTCCATGCTCTGTTCATCAAGCTAACAATATTGTTATTCTTAACATAATAAAATGAAAGTGATATGGATTATAGGTACAATGTAATTGTTTGTAATAGATATCCTAAGTGATGGGCAAATAGTGATGAGATGATCGAACTCTTAGATAAAGTGACTTCACTCTTATAATTATTCTTCGTAATTTATCATCGCAAACTGGACAAGTTGTGAGCAATTGAAAGGTTTGATTAATGGGTTTTGACAAAAACACCAAGTTTCCTACCATGTAGCTACATTTCCGCTGATACTAAAATGACAGTGACATTTTATTAACTGAAGCTGAAAGATAGACAAATGCCATGTGGTTCTCCCAAATGTACAAAACTTTAACACTTAAAACAAATCAATCAGAACAGCATGGTAACTGAAACTGAAAGATAAGAGTGCATTAAGTCACTACTATTTTTATATCTGGGTCAATATCTCCAAAATACATCAGTTGTCAAACAGTTCATATGGTTGTGGCACTATTTCTGAAATGACAGTGCCGAGAGGCCTATTTATTAAAGTAGAATTATTAGTATATATAGTGTCAACATATGCTGTACAATAGGTGGACTGACAAACAAGTGATTTCAACAAGGCATGTTTAATGTACAGGAACAGAAGGTGCCGAGGGCACTACTCAATATTAAAAATAATAATATGCCACAACAAACAGACGATTTTCAGCTTACAGTAAGGTTCAAAATACCATATTCTTCTCAATGCCATATACATTCTTCAGTAAAATAAATAAATGGTCTGGCACATCTTAAAATTGATATAAAATTCATATCAGAATAACTATGACCCAACTCACAGAACCTAAGTTAACTAAATGATGAGTCAATGGACACAGGAGAGTAATGTGTATTACTGGGCCTTAAAGTGACCGGACATAATGCAAATATAAAGTAGTACAGAACAAGCCAAGGTCAGGGAGACAAAAATAGCATGTACGATAAGACAGGAACAACAGGAGGTAGAATAGTCAAATAGCCAGCCAAGGCCAGTAAAGCCTATGAGTACAGCCCGGAAGAATTGCCCTATTGGATAACCTCATGACACAGTACAACAGCTAATGACAGTATATATTGCTTTAAGTGGGCAGAGATTGGTTGATTTGACCCCCCGTCATGACATGTGTGAGCATCATCGGAGTGATGACGCAGGCACGTCCGATGACCTAAGGAGGCAGAGGCTTTAAAAGGCTCCGATATTCAGCAGCCAGCATTGGACAAGATGCCAGAAGGAGGAGTGCTCACATGGGAGAAGGATGGAGGTGGCGCTTGGTATACGTATCTCAAGCGATCACAGCTGCAGACTAGTCAGAGTGTCCATGATGACCGATTTTCACTGCCGGAAGAGAATTCAGTGGATACATGAGAGTCAGAACTGGACCATGGAGCAATGAAAGAAAGTTGCCTGATCTGATGAATCACGGTTTGTTTGATTTTTAGATCAGGTAGTTTGTTGAGTGCATGTACATAGTTTACTTAAGGAAGAGATGGCAGCAGGATGCACTATGGGAAGAAGACAGGCCGGCAGAGGCAGTGTTATGCTCTTACAATGTTCTGCTAGGAAACCTTGGGTCCTGACATTCATGCGGATGTTCACTTGACACATACAACCTAAGATGCAATTGTTGTAGACCATGTACACCCCTTATAACAATGATGATCCCTAATGACAGTGGCCTCTTTCAGCAGGATAATTCACCCTGCCACAGGAAGTTTCTATTTGTATTTTTACAATAAATATCTGCATACTTTACCTATCAGCTGGAGGTGTATCGATAGGATCCTACGCACACCTGGGACTGGTCCTCCCTGAGCTGGATAGTTAAAGGGACACTATAGTCACCCAAACCACTTCAGCTCAATGAAGTGGTCTGGGTGCCAGGTCCCTCAGGTTTTAACCCTTCAAATGCAAACATAGCAGTTTCAGAGAAACTGCTAAGTTTACATTTGGGGTTAAGCCAGCCTCTAGTGGCAGTCTTCCGGACAGCCACTAGAGTCGCATCTGCGACGCTGGAGGCATATTATGCCTCGATCACGCAGAGTGTCCATAGGAAAGCATTGAGAAATGCTTTCCTATGGACACTTTGAATGCGCGCTGGAGCTGACGGGGGAGGAGAGGTCATTAGTGCAGAGGGAGCCCGGTGCTGGAATAAGGTAAGCTGCTGAAGGGGTTTTAACCGCTTCAGCGCCACAGGAGGAGGACCCTGAGGGTGGGGGCACCCTCAGGGCACTATAGTGTCAGAAAAACCGCTTTGTTTTCCTGACACTATAGTGATCCTTTAAGAGTGGTACCCTAACCACTCTGTGTGTGTGAGTGCTTTTGCATTAGCTTTTATAATTATTTATGCTTTCCTGACAATATTGCACTATTTGTTTTTATTTGTTTTTATCTCCTAGATTCGTTTATTGTGATTATTGTGCAATTATACCATTGTGTGCTAGTGTCTGAGGGTGTCACAATTATCACTATATATTGTATTAAGATACACCCATATGCCATTACCACTTTGGCACATATTCACTAAATAGTGAGCACTATGGGCACTTTAATTAAGTTTTAAAATTTGATATATGGGATTTTATATTTTGCCTAGTAGTGATTTAGTACACCTTGCACCAACTCACCACTATCTGTATTATTAAAATCCCATTACCAAGAAATTTTTTGTTGGTTGCTGCAATCTGTACCCACAAGTTTTTTCTGTCTGTTTTGCGTCACTTTATTTATAAATACATTTACATAATTACTGAAAGA